AAGTTTCATCCACCAAAGCCAATGACGACTTTCTTGATGTCTATTACATCAACGATGTCTATTACATCAATGATGTCTTTGGGGCATTAAGGTACTGTGGGCTGAACTCTTACCTCTATTAACCAGTGGAAAAATAATACTGGAAGAATTGCTCAGGTAGATAAACCAACGCCATGAAAGTCGTCTTTGGATCGAAGAAGAGATGTTACCAACACCAGGCTTGATATAACATCAGAAATAGGACAAAACATATCCAGCACAAACTACTTTTGTCTCCACACATTACAGAGGAAGAACAAGGTCCCCTCTACTGGAAAGCTATGGAATATGCCGAGCAGGACATCATGCAAGTCCTTCCTTGTCCTGGCTCAGTAGTTATCTCGGTTTGTTTTCTCCACACCACCCTTGACATGCACACACCATCAAGCTGATGAAAATGGAGCTTCTGTCACTGCTACCTGGATGTCCAAGTCTTGGGTCTTACATCCTGCTTTTGGCCTCTGGGATTTGTCATCTCACTTATGTTTTCAGAGAAATCAGTGTATCTCCAATCTTGTCATTAATGATTCATTTTGCAAAGCTTCAGCAGCTGTGGATGTCATTTTTCTAATGCAATTTCTCCATCTGGTGGTGTAAAAAGCAGCTCCCAAGCTGCTGTTGGTCAGTGTGCTCCACTCCAGCAGTGCTTTTTTACCCACCAAGATCAGGCTTTCAGATTCCACCTGACCACTGTAATATGAACGAGAGGAAAACACACACCAGTTTTGGACCGTGCCTGTAAATTTACTTGCCTCCATGCCTGCTTCGGACACTATGATAAGTTTTGTTAGGCAGGATGTTTCCCTGAAAGTCAGCAGCCCTGAGTGATGTATTCCCTTCATTCTGGCCATACACCGTCCCTCTGACAACTTAGAAACAAGTTGATACACCCCCTCAGATAACCTAGGGCTGGTACTTCTCAGAGGAGAAACAGTTTTGGTTTTTTTTAAATTAAAACAGCATCTTTTTTTTTTAGTAAGACATGACCACAAACTAGTGCGATCCAATATGTAAGAGCTTTAATGTATTTTCTGTCTGATCTTGGCAGAAGTTAATTAGGATGAATTGCAAAGGCTCCAACAGTCCGAGATGCAGTATTTTTATTTTTTTTATTTTTTTTTTATTTTTTTTGGTGTGAGAGAGATAGTGGTTGTATTGGGGAGGAGAGGGTTAAGGAAAGTGCTGTTATTACTGTGTTATAGTGAGCTTAATGACAAAGTGAAGTGGTAGATTTTCTCCATTGAAGGTTTTTGGACCAGGAGTAGACCTGTCCCTCTTCCCCCTCACCAAAGAGGTACACTGAGTCAGCATCCTTATCCTGTACATCATAAGGAGCGTTAACAGCTGGATTAACAGCACCACACCATATTTCCAGCCACAGGACAGGGAAGCAGTCCTTCCTCCCCAATTCACAGCTGGATCCCATCCTACGCCTGCTTTACCTGTGAACTGGAGTCGATAAGATGTAATCATCCACTCAGTCGCCCCAAAATACAGAGTGATCTCATGCAACCTTGTGCAATTCCCAGGAAGAGACAGCCACGCACACAGGCAAATAGTATGGACTGAATGCAATTTTTAAAATCTTTTTTTCCTTTCTTTTCTTTGTGACTCCTTATGAAAGAAATCGATTAAACAGGGAGACAACAGAAGAAAGCGGGTAACTGAAATGCAATGATTGACACCTGTCATGTTTCTGTGTGTTGGAGTCAATGTGCTTTCATTAAGTCTGGCATTAGGAGTGTCTGCAGCTCCCTGGGCGAAGGTGCGTTAACATGAACTGATACGTCATCAGGTGTTACACGTGCACGTACGCATACACACACAGACCGGATTACAGACCCGTGTTCCTGCAGGGCTGCCTCCTCCTCAGCTGGCTGTGTGACTCTTGTATTCTTTTTTGTTCCAGCTGAAAAAGTGGATAAAAGTCCTTTTCCTGGTCTCACCTACAGCCCAGTAGTTGTCCTGAGCCATAAACCTGGACATCTGAGAGCTCGCAGGATGAGGAGGGAATTGAAACCTGGTCCTCTGCTCCTGCCTGGAAGCTGCAATCCTCAGTCATCTTCAGCCTTTGAAAAATTAGGGGTGGAACTGAGATTCAGACTTAAACATAGATGTCTATAACATACATATCCACACGCATCATTTGGTATCATCGCAGTGGATGGAGGTTTAGGGCTGCAATGACTTGTCTGCACACTGACTCTGAGTTCCCTCCATACTCCTCTAGAATGACAGATCATACCTGGAGGCAGTGAACTGTCAGCGTTCATGCTGTTAGTAAATATTTCTGTAGTTGTGAACATCTTTCCCATCCTTACTCCTCAAGTTTTACACTACCCTTTCAGTAGTGTACGCTACCCTTTCAGTGCTTTTGGGGCATTTTATGAGCTGACTGACCTCATTAACGCAGCAGAACATGCTCTTCATTTTGCTAGGTTCATTTACTACCAGGATGGGTCAGGTAGGAAAGGAGAGAGGGGAAAGGAAAGGTGAGACAAATGAGAAATGTCTTTGCAGTGACAGATCAGCTCTCTGTCTGTCTTGAAACCACAGGGTGAGTAGAAAGCAGTTGGATTAATATAAATCTAATTCATGGGGCCTGAGCTGAATAAACCACTGGAGATAATTTCCTCCTTGCCCCATGGAGTAGACAAAGCCATGCCAGTGTATACACTCAGAGATGGTGTATCCAGCAGAGACAGTTGGTAGAGCTTCAGTCATCGCAATAGTTTGCAAACTATCCCCCATTAGCTTTTTAGCTAAATACGCCATGGCTGCTAATTTTAAGGCATAAATTGCTGACATATTTACAAAACACACTAGGAGAAAAGCTGCTCCTGATAAAACTACTTTGCAGGAGGTGAGACAAATAGCAGCCACATAAAAGAGTAGCAAAATCCCTGGTTTCAAAACTGCTCAGGGAGACACCAAAGACGTGAACGTGTTCAGCCCTGCTACCCCGAGACCCTGAGATGCTGAGCATCTTCACATCCCCTTCATCCCAGTGGGCTCTTGTCATCTGCTGCCTTTCCTGAAGGGATGATGAACTGAGGACAGCTACTGCCTACAGCAGCACAGATGCAGTCTGCTTTTTTTTTTTTTTTTTCTGTGCACATTCTCCTATAGCTTGATTTATATGTCTTTCATCAGAAAAAAGAAAAAGGTAGATAAATCTTCTGGGAGATATGCAGTTCTTTCTATTTCCTTCAGCAGTCCAGAGAAAGAAGGAAAGTTTTCTCCCATGTGTCCAAGCCACCTCTCAGAAACCATGAGCTGTGACTTAGAAAACTCTGTTCTTTGGGTTTTAGCATCCAGAATTTACTTAATCCCTAAAATTACCCATATGCAAATCCTATTTAGGAGATGAGTGCTAGTAAATATTTAGCAAACTCCTTAAAGTCTTCAAGAAGAACAAATTTTACATTAATCATGTCCTCCCATTAGTTTAAATCTTCATCTCTGCATTTCCATGCTTATCCAAAGTTCTGATTGTCACTCTAGGTTGCAGTTTGGTTCCAGTTGTTGTTACCATGTAGCTCTGCACAGTGCATTTTATTTACAAGATACTCTCTAGTCAAATGGCCAGGTTTTCCTTGTGTGGACAAAAAACCAGTAACTTGGTCTTCAAAAGGTAATAAATCCATACATCCAGTGGCACTCAACAGCCTGAGTATATGGAGACAGCACGTCCTGTCTGCTCCCAGTTCTCTACCCACAGCAATTTGACGATGTGCTCCCTGAAAGACTGCCAGCACTGTCTCTTAGCAAGGTCACTTCTTCTTTGCTGGGGCTTTGGCATTCCCACCAGCCTTGCCATTAGTTTTGGCACTTCCTCCTGATTTTACTGCTTCACCTTCTTTTTCACCTTTCTTCCCACCACCTTGTTTCTTGTCAGTACCATCCTTTCCCCCCTTTTCTCCCTTTTCTCCCTTTTCTCCTGCTTTCTTTTTGGCCCCATCCTTCCCTTCTTTCTTGGATCCTTCTTTCTGGTCCTTTTCACCATCCTTCTTCTTGGAGCCTTTGGACCCATCTTTCTTACCCTGAGCCTTGTCCACTTTTCCAGATACAGTGGGAACTTCTTCTTTTTTTTCTTCTGCAACCTGAGCTATATGCAAGGATGGAAAAAGAAAACAGGAAAGCAGTTAACTTGGGTTGACAGTAGCCAGGAAGAGGGCAAAATTCCTGCTCCCTGCTGGCAAATCTTGAACAAAGGGAAAATACTTCTACTGGGGCTTTGTCCAGACAGTTGTTTTCCTCAATGACTACCAGCTTTTCATGTCTTTCTTTTGAGAAGATAGATGAATGGGACAAAGCAGAACTGGTAATTTCAAGAGCTGAGTTGTGGCTCTATTGGAAGACATGTCTCCTGTTGGTAGGAACTGCTCCATGAAATTTATAAACACAGGCCACAAGCATTTCCCAATAATGACATTCAGTGTGGAGTTGTCTTCTTGTGCAAGAAGGAACAGAAACATCTCTCTTGCGATTCAGTACAGACCTGGCTTGGGTTTGGTTTTTTTGTTTGGTTTTTGTTTTGGTTGCTTGACATTTCTAATTCTTTGTTTTCCTGTATGGGATATGTCTCCTGCAGCTGAAAGCAGATTCTGATGGGGATCTTTGCTGTCAGAGACAGACAAGCAGAAGATGGTTTGCCCAGCACAGGACTACCAAGTAGGCTTAGCTTATGTCCTGTCCACATCCAGTCACCATGGGATTGGCTTCCTACCTGTTCCGCTGCAATTAATGATAGCAACATACTATGGGCATATAGCAATTAACTCCAGTGCATAGTTAGCCCTGTTTTGGTATGTTTTAATACATGAGCCATATTAATTATAGGAGGCTTATAATATCTTTACTTATGGAATATTTTTACTTAGGAATATCTTGGATTCAGTGCCCACATTTCAGGTGAGAAGACTCATAAGTGTCACACTGGATCTGCAGACTTTAATTATTCAAACAAAGGATTTGGTAGCAGAAAACTTTTCCTCATCTTTCTTTTTTTTTTTTTTTTTTTTCCCTACTAGAAGTGGTTAATTTTCTCATAAGTATTTCTGAAATCAGAGCTTGATGCACTGAACTGTCATCTGAAGCTGCAACTTGACAAACACAGATCATATTTCATGTATTTCTAATGGAAAGCTTTTCCTTTGCTCAAGACCAGCAGAGTATAAAGTTTTGCAAAAACAAGTGAAAATGTATTAAATTTCCTATGACCTCCTTCTGTGAAAATCCCCAATATATAGGCTCAGATATGTAAATAGATAACACAACTTAATAATTAAAACCAGCCAAGATGTAGCAATGACCTGGGAGTGACCTTGGCAATCGGAGGATGATTGGTCACTGTTTAGCTTTCTTCAGCTGGCACGTAGGCTAAGTCAATTTATTTCATGTTTATCAGAAGCTAAGGAAAGATGAGAGCGAATTGGCTTAGGAAATAATTTGGTAGGGGCCTTTGGTGAAATGTCTCAACCCTTACCTGGAGCCATTGGACTCCAACATGTTTAAGTAATCCCAAATCTCCCATTGCTATGGATGTCTGTAGCATCACTTTCAGACTGCAGCAATGTAGGTGCAAATCAAACCTGAATTTGTTATGCTTACCTAAAATATTCCTTCAGCCTGCATACTAAAATAAAATATCAGGCTTTGAGCTTGGGAACTGGCAATTCATTTGTACATACAAATGGGAATAGAACAATCCAATCTGTTTCTTACAACCACATGGGAAACCCTGACATCTCATATAAAAAAGGACAGGGAAAAATAATAATAATAAAAAAATCAAACACCACATTGTCTGCTTCCTGGACAAATATGGTAGGAACCAGGTGAACTCCCAAAAATGTCAGCTGGAGAAGCCTCAGACCAGAATACTTGCAGATCTCCCAGGCCATGGACCCAGACAGCACATCTCCACCCACAGTAGAGGCCAAGTCCTGCTTGTACTTCTCCCACAGACTGGGAGACAGAGCACAAATGAATCAATTTATATATAACTTTTTGTACACTGAACCCTAAAGTCCATTTTATTTATGTCCAGTAAAAGTGCTGGCTATATATGACACTCAAAAAAGTGCTTGGAGAGCCATTTGGCAGTTAGAATATTCCATCACAGTAAATGTGAAGTAGGGTAAAATAATGGCAAGAAATGAGAGTATTTAAGCATTGTAATATATTCACGATTAATAGCATTTGACACTCACAGAAATCTTTAAAGCATTTAATGGCCACTCAGTAATTAAAATCACTCGAGTCATCTCTCCGGCCTTGACTGGATCTACCAGGGGTTGGCACAGTATAAGTACATAAATAGTTGACACATACATTATATTTCATGACCGCATAAATCAAGGTCGGTTGCCAAATGCCAGTGGGGCAACATGGCAGAGCATCACACTCCGTACAGCTGAAAATAACGGCACAGAGAGGAAGCCCAAAGGTTTGCATACTTTCCATTGTAATGCCTAAATCATGTAGTGAAACTTTTTCGGGGACAGGATGCACACTAATCTCAGAAGGAGGGCAAACCAGTGGGTTTGATCACATGTAGCTTTTGCATTTAACTCTTCAGGCGCTGACAGTTGAGTCAGTCCTTTTGGGTCGCAAAGACTGAAGACCTACAGGCATTTTTAAGGCACAATTTACCTCTTCCACTTTAGCACCTCCCCTACTGTGAAAGGAATCACATCCTTTTTATTTTCCACCCTAGATAAAGCGATAAAATTGAGACAGCTAGTGCTGATGCAGACTTCTCCATAGATGTGGATAATGTATTTGTGGTTAGATGACTCCCACCCCAGTACCAGTTCCTTCAGGGCAACTGAGGCAGATTTACAGCTGACCCCAGAGGACTAGGACTTCAAAGCACACGTATTTGTTAGCCATTACCAGACATCAGCAGCCATATGTTATCCACTGGCCTCCTACCCTGCACTGTGCCAGCACCATAATTCTGGGCTTCTCAAAAGGTCAAAGGGTGGTCAACTATTCAACTTACACATTTAACAGGATAAAAGTTTAGGTCGTCTTTATGGTGCAGCTGACTTCCCATAAATTGCTTTCTTGTGGTAATTTATTCATTACTTCATGCTGCAATAATCTACCATGGTCTGATTAAATCTACACCAAAATAGCCAGCCTTTGGATGGAGTACATGTGCATGTTTGTAGGATGTAAAGACTGCTTACAGGAGATGAAAATTCATTAGCGTTCTGGGGTGAAACAGCGATTCCACTGCCCAAATACCCTTTCTGTCTCTTCTGGATATTCTCATGCTTAATTTATTGGATTTCCAGGTGTCACAGTGAGGCAGGAAGAGGATGCAGCAGCAAATGAGTGAATTTGGCTTTCTGCTATCTACAGGCATGATCCTTCACAGCCTCTGGGATCTACTGATAGCTGGTCCTTACAGAGTCAGAATTTGGTCTTTTAGGCAGGAAATCAAAGGATACAATACTAAGCACTTCCATGTGTGATTGCTCATACATGTAAGAAAGCTTTAACTAGACCTTTGGATGATCTTTGACTTTAAAGTAGGTTAAGAGAATTTAATTATATAGACAAGGGCTTATTCATGCCAGTTGGGTTCAGCTCCAGAAAGTGGTCTGGCCATCCTCAGTTTGTAGTCTAGGCATAGTCAGATGTCTGAACACCTCTGAAATACTGAGGTATGTGCAAGTTTCTACTATTAAGCACTTAGTTCTGTATTTTGCTGGTGTAGAACTAAATTTCTGCCTCTTTCACAGTTTCATGGACTGAAGAATCTCATTTTGAGTCAAGGAAACTCCCAGTTTCCATGAAACTACGGACCACAGGGCTTGCAGAGACACAGGAAAGAGAAAAAAAAAAATCATAAAAAGGTATTGAGAAAAAAGAAATGAAATGCAGAAAGGGAACTGAGAAGCAGAGAGTCCAAGGTATGATGGGTCTCATCAGAAAAGAGAAGCCATAGACAGCCAGACAGGAAGGCAGCCCCCTAATTTCCTTGCAGGGCCATTTCATCTTCTTCCTTCACCACAGGCAGGGAGTTGAGAGGTCTGGACTGGACATGACCAGAGAGAGTTAGGAGAGTTTCGGTAGAGCCTAGGGTACAGAATCAGGAAAAATGGTGAGAGCAGCGGAGACCAATGACAGAAATACTCTTGGCCATCCAAATGGGGCAAGCCATTTATGGGTAATGTGAAACCCTAACAACTTTTCTTCCTCTTGACACCACCCCCCCACCCCCCCATCCCCACCCCTGCAACCCAGGAAGTGGCCTTTAAAATGAATCAGACTTTCGGGAAATTTTAAACAAGAATTTCAAAGGAACGACCCTGCTTTTTACCAATGGAGAAACTGCCCCTTTCATCTAAATGACTGTGCCTGCTGCCACAAGTGCTGCAGGTTTAGTGCATGTGAATGGGAAGTGTTTACCAAGTCATGGCAATATCTTAATGGTTGTGCCCAAGGAGACACGTTGCTTTACACTGAGGGAGGACCTAGCCCTTTTGCATTTATGGATACAGAAAGCAACCCCAAAAGAAGAGATGGGTCTTGTGTAGGTGTGGGCATGGAAAGTACCTCCAGGGATCTCTGTCAGCTCGTTGAGTGGTGGCACAGTCTCCAGTTTGTCTGCATACGTCTTGGCTGCTTGCCGTTGAGCATATCGCGCCTCAATCTCTTTCTTTGTTCGTGGAATTCGGCACTTGAAGATACAGCAGAGCGTGATAACTGAGAAGAGAGAGAGGGAAGCAAAAGTTTTCCGTTTAGTCAGCAGATCTCTGTGTAGTGTGGTCCATTTACAGTAGGGAGACAGCAGGAAGAAAAAATAATTTCAGAAGAGTTTCTTCCTGTGGGAACGTGTAGCCATTTACATCGGTGGAAGTACCTGCCTGAGGGATATGGTCACACAGTCTAAAACAATTGAGTTACCTGAAAGTAAAGAATTACCACCCTTCACCTGAGCTGTGGTAAAGGACTGAGCGTGCCCTTCCCACCAAAACCAATGTAAACCATTGCCTTTCTATATGCCACTGGTGTTTCTGAGCATCAGAGCATCAACAACTTAAATTCATTATCTCTTTGCAAATGACAGCAGCAATTATGATGGACTGTCACCTTTCAGCAGTGAGTTATTGCTAGAGGTTCCTGACAACAGGTCTTAGCCATTCATTTTTGTGGTAGGTAGATGCTGGGGCTGGGGACCTCCAGCTGAAGAAAGCAATGAGGAGTTTGGCATGAAAATGCTGTAAACCCTTCAAAATAGATCCAGAAAAAGAAGCTCAATATATGCCTTAACTGACTTTCCTCCAAATCCATTTATTGAAAGACAAGATTGGACCCATATCTCCTAAATGCCTCCATCATGCACTTACTGTTTCATCATGCTTCTTTCCATTGTCTAGGCTTCTTTATATGAGTTAAGGATGCAGCTGATGATTTTACTCCTAGTAAGAAATATTTTCTCTTCATGGCTAAACCTATACATTATTTCAGAATTTTCATCTGCAAATCTAATCATGATCCAGACAATTCATTTTAAAGGAATCACTATTTGTTGGTTTCCTAGATTAGGAATTCACAGGCTTGAACAGATCATTGGTTCATCCATGTATCACTTCTGACAACAACAAAACAGCAACTTCAGGGAAAAGATCAATGAAACTCGGAAATAGGTAATCATAAAATTAGTTAGTCCATAGGTCATAGACACACATCAAGAAGAATGAGATCTCATGGTCTCTATGAACTTTTGAGTTGCTTTTTTGTGGGCATCTTTAAAATAGTTTGAGGGATTCTTCTATTCTAAATAAAAGCTCAAATTTCCAACCTACCTAAGTTCTTAGCCTCATTTGTATACCTTATGGAAATGGGTTCTGCAGCCAGGCAGAGCCTTGTGCTTGGACTGATGTCATATGATCATTATTACATGCTCTGTCTCTCATTTTAACTGGAGTTCCCCTATGCCGCATCACCACTATGAGAAAGGAGCAAGCATCCAATTTTCTGTACATTTCAAAAATCAGGTAAATCTCCTCTGGCTTTATATCACCATGAGCAATGTATTATTCCCCTGAGAGTAATCCAAGGAAATGAGAGAAATAATCTGTATGCTTCGTTCCAAGTGTAAGCCTTTCTCATTCACCAGGAGTAAAACCATTTTGCAAACAGCCTTCACAGCACAGGGACACAGACCATTCACTGGTGTAAATTTTATTCCCTAAAAGTTTGTCCTGTACCTGTCCAGCTTCTCCCAAGTAAAGAGGTATCACATTAACCAGGAAGAAGCTCTGCATGATCTCTTCAGATCACAAAAGACAAAAAGAAAGTAGTAAAACACCTTTCTCAGTGTTTTGAGGTTAGTGTAAAGTCACCAAGAGCAGCAGCTCCTCTATCCCTTTGCTGAATTTTGCTGCCAAAACTATCATCCCTTAAACAGTTTGCTGCAGAGGTGATGCAGTAGAATCACACTCAAGGCCATCTAAATGTCACAACAGGATGAGACACCTGAAGCTGAAGTGAATTGCTTAAAACAACATGGAATTGTAATAACCCGTAATTGGGGAAGCAATCAAGATGCTTTTATCCTTGCTCTTCCATGAGAGTCAGCAACAAGCTGAGGGTAATTGAGCTTTTATTTGTCTTACAAAAGGAAAGCAAGGTACCCATATGGTGCTATTGGCAGGACAACAAGTGGGTAACGTACCACATCTGGAAAGCACACAGCTGGGTCTGCCCTGCTGTTCAGGGCAGCAGGATTTCACTGTGCACCTGCCCACAGAGCCTGCTACAGCTATGTCGCAACCAATGGATGGCACAGAGATTTTCAGGCTAGCAGACAAAAAAATACCTAGTAGGTGGACAAGGACTCAAGGCAAGGTCAGACTAGACATAAGTACGCATTTTTAACAGTGACAGCAAGCAGGAAAACAATTTACTGGGGGGAATGGGGTACGTGCTTTTTCTCTAACCACTTTTAAATCAACATCTATTGTTTTCCTAAAAGCACTCTGGAATTCAGCTAAGCTAGGAAATCCTCCACTCACATTTGAGAAAAATTTGCCAGGAAAATTAGCACCATATTTCCTGGAGATTGATAAATCATGAGACTGTCATCTTTCAAGTAAAGCACAAAAAGATTGCTCAATGCCCTTGAAAATCAAGGACAAAATGCCTCCCAATATCACAGTAGTTGGCTTAGCCCTGCAGGAAGGAGTAGGGGTTGTTCTGTATCTCGCAGCTCTACTTCTTTTCCATTACTAAGGACAAAAATAGTAGTTGCTACACGACAATCATGAGCTGGGCTCTCTGTTTAACTTTCTAATGGACGTGAAGTGTTACACTGAGGTACTGGGAACTTAAGTTATCTTGGGATGTGAAATGATTCATAACCAACCTTCAGAGCAAGAGGTTTATGTGGAAATAATACGGTACTATTCCTATCTCCATCTCCCTTGCAAGCCACACTTAGTGTGAAGTTCAAGCCATGCAGGGGGCTAAGTATTGGACTGAATGCCATTATATTTGTAAAAGAATAGGCCAGTGAATAAGATTTTGGTATGGGAGCTTTAGGACACTGGAACTGATACCAGGAATGATCATTTTGCTGCTAGTGGGAAGCTATTGCCTCTTTGATATCTTCGCTTTTCCCTTCAGGTCAGACACAGGAGACAGAGTGGGTGGAATTCAGCTGCTCTGGTTTATATGTCCCAAAGCCAGAGATTATGGTCTCAGAGTCACTCCATTCTCCCTTTATCACTGATGGAGAGAAAGGAGCATCTCTGCAGGGTGATTAATCTCATGTTAAAACATAAATTTAAGGTATGCCAAATAAATCATTCTCTGCAGCTGCTTTTCTCCCCATTTACTACAAAAAGACCCTGAGTGTCCAGTCTTACATGGGACTCTCAAAGAGCTGTGACCCCCTGGAGTGAGAGCCAGAGGCCCTAGGGCTTCCAAATGACATCAGAGATCTACATTTAGGCATGTGAACTCTTCCTTAGTTAGACAAGGTGAATCTCTTCTAACTATTCCAGAAGTTAAGAGTGAAATGTTCGTTGCATATTAGAAGTTTGGAGCTATCTTAGCATAATTTCTGTTGTGCCTTGTAGATATTTTATGGTTTTTTCCTGCTTCAAACCAGTGAGATTGTTTTTGCTCCACTGATAATTTATCCATCACGTGAACCAGAAAGCAATGTAACCCGTAATGTTTCCTGGGTCTTTGTTGATGCTGAGGTTAACATTATTTTCCACTGGAAGAGCAGAGATTTTTTCATTCTGAAGACAACCTCAGAAACTGGACATACCTGTAAAGGTCCTGAGACCATCCTCACCACCACTACACTTTCTGGGGTTTGGCTGCCTGAGTTTGGGGCCAGATGAGAAGTAATGCAGCTGGTGGCCTTCAAAGGAGTTAGAAGAAACCTCAGTGGTGGAGGCTCACCTTTTCTTTGCCTGCAGTGACTCCTAAGCGAATGGTCTCGTGCCTGGCCCCCACTGGAGGTCTGCTGCAGTTGATGTTGTAGCTGTGCCCATGCCTGGTCATGTGTCCCATTGATCCAGACCCTGACCATGGACATGACTTTCTGGCTTCAACTCAGACCTGCTCCATCACTACCAACTTGGCTGTGCCTGACACCAGTTACACTTAGCCATCATGTGAGGATGGTTGGCAATGAGGATTGCTGTTTAAAAATACCATTCCTATAAGACAACAGATCAAGAATTGGACAGTACTCTCTCCCGGGAAAGTGAAATATCAAAGCAATACTCTTACAAAAGCATAGTATGTGACATGACATCAGTTAGGCATGTTAACTGATAGGCCTATGTTCTCAGGGTAGAGAATTACAACGTTAACAAAACCAAAACCCAACACTGAAAACCTCCATGAGAGTTATATGTACAATGAAAGTCCTTAAACTAGAAGTTTTTGTTTGGGATATGAATATGTACAGGAATATTAACTGCAACTCAGTTGAGTAGTGATAACTTGATCACTTTTGATTCTGGGTCCACAGGATGAAGTATTTGGGGGACCAGTTAGCTTGGATGTAACTTGAGAATTTGTTATTATGCTTTTTTTGGCAGGCAGATTACTTGACTTCAAGCCTTGAATGTCTGTTTTATATTAAACATTAACCAATTCTCTTATTCCCCAGGTGAATGCTTGAATCACACTGCTATCAAACAATATTTAGTCCCTTTTTTTCACATTGTGGGTCTCCTTTTCCTTTCCAGGATTTCAACTTTCATTTTAACTGTCGAGAAGGCTTCTAAATACAGCCTGAGTAAACTATTGCCTGTCTGATGCTATGGTGAGCTTAAAGTAATCTCTATAAGATGTATCAGTGCCCCATCAGCACCATGGAAGGTCCAAGAAAATGTTCACCATCAAGGCTTGGAATGGTGACATTGTTCATGGTTTCTCTGCTATCAAACTACATAAAGCAGAAGAAGAAACCTCCTGTGTGACAAAATGTAGTAGAGTCATTTTCAATTCTCTCCATTTTCTCAGCTTTTCTGTAGTAATAATATCTGGCCTTATGATACTGTGATAATAAGCATCTTCGGTGAACTGCACAATTAAACACTAGGCTTTTTCTTTTTCATAGAATCATAGGATCATAGAATCTTAAGGTTGGAAAAGACTTCTAAGATCATCAAGTCCAACCATCGACCCAACACCACCATGTCTACTAAACCACGTCCTGAAGTGCCTCGTCTACA